ACATATGAATCAAGATGCTATGACCGAAAAAAATGTGATTGACAGATGACCGTCGATATATGATTTGCTGAATTTAGGTGTTCAGACTGACGCATAACTAACTGGCCTGCATAAGATAACGAAAAACCCCACAGTTTTTAAGACGGGATGTTTGTTAAATATAAATTTTCTAAAGTTGGGGACAATATAGTCTGATAAAGAGTACATTTATATACATGTTTAAACCAGAATGATATGACATTTAAATATGATTCCCCTACGACTTTAAGGGGTTTGCTGAGGCCCCCAGAGTGGAGGCTGTGGGGATCGAACCGAGTACTTGCAACCTTCTCACTGCTCTAACCACTAGGCACTTCCCACACAATATTGTAGCAACATTCGCTCCATAGAGTCAGAGATGTCATACAGGTTTACAAATGACCTATGAATGCGTATCTTTTAGAAAATAGACCCTGCAGGAGGTCAGGTGATGGTTAGGGGTGGATGGTGACATTCTGTTAACTCCTCATTTAGTTTCTTCCATGCAACATTCTCCATGTTGTCTTACTTAAAACTGCTTGCCTCTGTAAACACCAGATTTCCTCCTCCTGTATATCTTACTCGTCCCAGTCACGTCTTCACCTGCTAACTGAATTAATGACGCAGACTCTCTAACATCACATTGTAATTTCACGCTCAATCGGAGAAGCACAAATAGAACAGAACCTCCTGAATTCAGCCTGTTTCCTGCCTTTCATCCGCTCCTCTCCATCAGTCGTTAAGCCCCTCCTCCTTCCTCTTGTCCTTCAACCCCTGTGCCTCAGATTATGTTAATCAATTAATAAAACAGCTCAGACCAGTGCCCCGTGTCCTCGCCTCTTTTTGCTTGTTATTTATTTTGTTCATTGTGTGGCACTAAGCAGGCAGGATAATTGAATTATTTCTAGAAGACGCCTATCTGTGCTCCACTCACTCTGCAGCTCAGACAGAAATGTGTGTTTATGCACAGCAGACATTGTATTGATGATATTTATTAGAAAGGTCCCTGACTCTTTCATTAACTGTTTACTTTTTTAAACTCTTTCAGTCTTTGAGAAGAGAAAAATGCTCTCAGGCTGCAAACACTGTGGGACAAATGTCTCTAAATTCATTTAAAGGCCATTTCAGAAGTTTGGAAAAGGTTCTGTTGAGAAAATATGACAGTCAGTGTCTAACCAGGAGTAGATAACTTTCTGAATCTCCTATTTGCCTCAGGGGTCTCGTTAAACACTTTTAATATTCTAATTACCTCTATCGGTTTGGGGTGACTCTGCAAAGAAGCTTTTTATCAACATGCGACACGAATCTCATTAGAGAAATAAGTCCTTGTTTAACCTTTGCAGGACCTAAAGCAGCCGAAGCTCCGCCAGACTGACTGCAGCGGCGGCAGGACTCCAGCTGTGTCCGTTTGAGGATTTTCTAAACTAATCACATAAATATAGAATATCGATTATGATTTGAAGGCATTTCTAGTTTGCATGATTCCTGAATGCAGCAACTTGGAATGTTTTCTGTAGACACTGAAGAAGGTAATCAGCATTTCACACTCTATGCCAGGGATCTTCAAGGTTTTCCAGGCCAAGGACCCCCAAACTGATGGCGAGATGGAGCGGGGACCCCTCATTATATATATTGTATGAAATTGTGTTATATCAAAGTAATTTCTTCCTGGGATTATTAAAGTATTTCTGATTCTGATTCCTGGTTGATGGGACAGGTGTTGTGAATGAAACGGTGCCCAGCTTGAAAGAGCTCCTGTGTGTCGCTGAATGTGTGCATTGATGACTGAAAGACATACGCTGCCTCCATTTATCTGTTTACTACAGTGTGTTGAATTCATGTTAATGTTTATTTAAAGACATTTCAATTAGTAGAAAAAATTAATAAACCAAGAGCACAGTTTCTCAATCTGCACGCACGGATTGGAAAACTGGGCGCTCAGTTTTTCAATCCATGCCCACGGATTTCCAGCTGCTTTTTTTTTTTTTACCCTGACACCCAGGGGGCTCCATAGCAATGTCAAGAGAGCTGTACAAAATGAAATTACAATAAAGTTTGTCTAATTCTTGGCAAAAATAATAGAATCATTGGCCTCAACGAATGTTCATTCAGTTGTTTGGTTTTGTAGAAAAAGCACATCGCAGACATGACACAAAACTAAAGTAGTTTCAACTGGTAACTGTCTTGCTTTAAGAAACACTAAAAGTATGTAAAAAAAAAAAAAAAGAGGTAGTCAGTAACGGTTACTTTTTTAGACAAAGCAGGAGGAAAAAAATGAAATGCTAGGCTGCTGGAGAGGAGAGACGGGCTGAATGTCGACCTCTCATTCAGGAGGAGCAGTGGAACCATGGACCAGCTCTACCCTCTGCAGGGAAGTTGAGCGTGCATAAGAGTTTACAAAACTGGTTCGTGTGTGTTTAGTGGACCTGGAGAAGGCATCCAACTGGATCCCTCGTGGTGCCCTGTAGGGGGCACTTCAGGAGTATGGAGTTACAGTAGTAGCAATTCAAAATTTCCCCACTTTCCTTGACGGGCCCTTGGCTAGTCCTTTGGCCCTTGGCTGGTCCTTTGGTCCTTGGCTGTTCCCCTACAATTCCTTTTTAAACATCAATCGTTGTACTAAAATATTCTCTCCGTCATAATTTGTGGACATCAATGTCAAAACAGAAGCATCATCTCCTGGTTAGACCCTGTAATTCAGTGAAAGGGAGGAGTCAGAGTAAAAAAAAAAGAACGCCCAGGAGAAGGCCAGTGGATAGAAGTTGGAGGAGATTTGGCTGAGAGTTGCAGTGGAAGCCTGGTCCACAATGCGAGCATTAATCTGGACCTAGTCAGAAATATTTCATAAATTAAAACCAACAAAGTGCCAAAGGCTTTAATTCACAAACCATTTGCTGATAGGCGACTTCGAAAGGTTTAAAAATCAGGATAAAAGACCTTTAAATGTCAGGAAGTTAAAGCATGAATCACAGGTTGAGATCTGCTTCAATGTTTACAATCTTATCCAGAAAAACGTTTTCATCATGTGGAAACGTGAATGTTTGGCCCGTCTGCAGGCCGTGAGAGCTAGACGGGAACTCAGAAGACACGTGCAAATACAGTGCAGGTTAACTCCTGATGGAAAGAGATACAATTCAACTAAAGTTTAAATAAAAAAAAAGAAAATGTGTTTTATTGTGCGCGTGATGCACACCTGAGAGCTGACAGAGATACATTTGTCTGGCAGCAAGTGTGCCATGATGAAGGTCTGCACACATTTTGATTTATTCTGACAGACTGATGAATTCTGGGGATTGGGGATTGCAATGACCTATAGAGAGAGAGTGGGTGTGTGTTTGTGTGCAGGAGGAATGGAGGCGGAGGTTGATAAATGGGAGGATACTTACTACTGCTGGGTATTAAATCTCTGTCTGGTATAAATAGTTTGTATCCGTAATGCTTTTCAAGAACGTCCGGCAGGATCTCCAGGGCAAAGGTCTCCTCATCACTGCTTGTCCTGTTGGGAGAGCAAATAGAGAAAAATGCTCTCAGGCTGCAAACACTGTGGGACAAATGTCTCCAAATTCATTTAAAGGCCATTTCGGAAGTTTGGAAAAGAGGTTCTGTTGAGAAAATATGATAGCCAGTGTCTAACCGGGAGTGGATAACTCACTGAATCTTTTATCTGCCTCAGTGGTCTCAGTAAATACTTGAAATATTCTAATTACCTCCATCAGTTTGGGCTGATTCTGCAAAGAAGCTTTTTATCAACATACGACACAAATCTCATTAGAGAAATGAGTCCTTTGCAGGACTCTCTTAGTGCGGTGGAGGCTCTGCCAGACTGACTGCAGCGGCGGCAGGACTCCAGCTGTGTCAGTTTGTTGTTTTTCTAAACTAATCGCATAAATATAGAATATTGATCATGATTTAAAGGCATTTCTAGTTTGCATGATTCCTGAATGCAACAGCTTGAAATGTTTTCTGTAGACAACAAAGCTGTTAATCGTCATTACTAGGGATGGGAATCGAAAACCGGTTCTGTCTGTTCCAATTCCATGTTCCAATTCCACCGTTTGGCAGCTCGCTTAACAATTCTCTTAATGGTTCCAGGCAGCATCAGAGCCTAGCTCTGCGCAGCACGACTTACGTCACATTTTTTTTACGCAAGTTAAGCACACGGCATTCAGTAAGCAAGTACGACGTGACCAGGTGTTGGTCTAGAAAAGCAAAAAAAAAAACAAAAGCGCCCTATCGGGTAAAACGATCAAAATGTTTGGCTTCATTTTAAGGAAGAGAAATATGGCAACAAGGTGCTTTGCAATCATTGCAAAGTGGCAATTACATCCACGGGAGGAAATACATCCAACATGCAGAAACTTTTTTTATGCTTTCGGACAGAAGCTAAAGTTACGACCAGCATGGAAGGCAACTCTGGTGGTAAGTAGCTAGTTTTATATCACTGGCTGTGCTTAATGTGGCTCCTAGTAAATCAGATGCCATTTCTGGAAATAAACCAATTTCCTACCTCTCTCTGTGGTTATTAAACATGCTACGAAGTTGCTCCGCAGTTCAGGAAGCGAGAGAAAGGTAACGCTCGTTTATTTAAATGAGGGGGAGATGAGTTTATTTCCCATAATTGTACAGTAATGCTTTTTCATTAAACGGATGCCGTCTCCGTTAGATGTAGATGACTGCGATGAGACGGGTAGCCTGGCTGCTCAGAGGCTGGCAGCTCCCGTTCACTGCCTTCTGTTTTCGCCGAGGCAGGGAGAAATAGAATGTCCCAGGCGAAGTTACCTAATGTCACTCTGCACTTACTGTACCAAGTTCATTGTTTCACAGAATCGATAAGAGAATCGGAATCATGAAAATTGTATCAATTCCCAACCCTAGTCATTACACATTCTAAGCCATCTAAGCCCCGCCCCCAAAACCAAGAGGCCAGGGCTTTGAAACACAGAATCCCAAACTAAAAAAATCAAACCAAATCTAAAAAATACTTTTAAACATATTTTATTCATTTCTTGCTTACTTTTTTCATTTTCTATAGAATTTTCTTCTGTTTGAGAAGATTTTTGTTTCAGTTTCAAATATTTTTTGTTTTTGTGTTTAGTGTTCTTTGGCTGATTTTTTATATTTATTTTTGTTTTGTCTTGAAAAAAAAAACGTTTTTACTTAAAAAATGTTTTTGAAGAACCTTCATGTTCCCAATTTGGCTCCATACAGAACCGTCTCCAGATTCACTCTTCCAGCGTTTTTTTTTTTTTTTTTATGGTAAGAACCAGAGCACGTGAATGGAGCAGAGCGCCACGCAGTTCCCGCTCCCCACTCAGGTGGATGTTTGCTCATTCGCTCCGCTGCTCAAAGTTGCGCCATGACGCTCCACTCAAAATCCGCCCCACGCTCACCTTAATTTTCCTGCTGCTCCGGCGAAATCATAACCTGACTCCGCCAGATGGATTTGCTCCGTATATCCATCTGGAAACCTTCCGTTGAAGTAATTTTGGGAAGGGTTGGCCTATGTTGGTGATAGACGGACCAAATAAACCAATCAGATCAACGAAGTGTATGACGTACTAACAGAGCGACGACAAAAACACAACTACAAGCCAGGCACAAGCCAATTGATAGATCAAACTCTTGCTGAAACCAGTCGGGAGAAGAGCAAAAACATCTTCTCCTCTGAGAAAAGCCTCCAGAGCAGTGTTTTGCTCTTCTTTCAGTGAAGAAATACTCTGTAATTCCGATAAAACTTGCTAGATAGCCACGCTAACGCTAGTTTCATCGGCTGAAGCCACCATGTTCTTTAGACCTACACCGCCGCTGCCGTCACCATCTCTGCTGTGTACCTGCTGCTCAGAGGAACGGGTTGAACTGGACCAGAACACAACATGGTGGATTAACTCTAAATCCTGAATAATCTCTTCGTCACACGTACGTCACACCTCAACCCGCCTCAAAGCCAACGCTGATTGGACGTTCATTTGGTGAACTGCTCCAAATTTTCTTTAACGGAGAGTCTCCAGACTGATTAGCGAGTGAAAGCTTGAAAGCTCGCAAGATCAGGATGGTCTCACGAGGCTAGCGAAATCAATCCATGCTCGCTTAAATTTTCAGGAAAAGGCATTTTCTGACATTTTTCCTTCATCTAATGATGCCAGGGCTCTGGGACACTTTGCGTTTGATTTAATGATGTGACCGATACATGTTTATTGTCTTATTTATCTGGCTGTTAAATTATCCCGGCTGTGACATAACACCTAGCTCCATTCATGTTGCCCCACATTTCTTATTTAATTAGTAATTTATTTTACTAGACTTAAATCAAATAAATGTTATTTTAAAAATGTTATAATCCATCATATTTAATCGACGCATCGGAGCGAACTGGAGTGGAGCAAAATCCTCGCTCCGGCCTTTGAACTGAAAACCACTCTGGCTTCCATCAAATTTCTTCCGCTCGCTCCACGCTCCGCTCATATGCTCTGGTAAGAACTGGGATACAGTTGGTAGTTTCAACACCCAGAGAACTTCTGAAAAAACATTTCTATGTAAAAAGCAGGCTCCAATCCTTGACATCGACTCCAAAAAGAAACAAACATGAATTCAGAAAATTATCAAACCGTGAAGCACAGCTATCAGAGAACCCAATAGATTGGTAATAAAATCATGCTGATAGATTTTTACTCCAGTGTCAGTGGGGATGTATCTGTTTATTTGAAATTGAATCTATAATTTTGACTCCATGTGAGTGAAAATCAATATAAAGCTAAAACTTCTGGATAACATTTTTTATTTAATAAATCTTTACATTTTATTAGAATGGGTCCATTTCAGTTAGGGAAAATAGTTTTTAGATAAATAACTAAACACCCAAAATGAAATGACAAATGAACATAAGCGTATGCATAAAAAAGAAAATTAAAACTATTAGAAGAATAGAGTCAGGTTTAACTTAAAATGCTTCAAGGAATCACACAGTTCAGCCCAAATGTATGAGAGACCTGACCTGCCCAGAGAGTCCAGCTCCACTTTAGTGTAGGAAAGATAGGCATCGTACTCCTTATTATCTGACGAGAGAAGGGAAAACAGACATAGCCATGAAGATGCAAGGAAACTGCACTGAAACAAATTATGTGTCCTGTTTAGCAGTTCACTTAAAACAGCAATAAGTATTGTTAGAGTGGTGCTCCCCCTGTAGGACACATTGAAAAAAGCATTGTTGTAAATGCTGACTGCCCAGTAACCCACATCTACAGCGGGATCACCTTCAAAGTGGTTGGAAGAGGCATATCATGATGAAATATAGAAAGAGCTGGGTAGAATGGTATCTAAAATAAACTAGTTAAAAACAGCATTTGAATGCAAATTGCTACTATGAATTTGAGGAAGAAGCTGAGACTCTTGCAGGAGAATGTTCAAATTTATTTAACGTCCTCAGATGGAGAGATAGAGCCTTGACTGGGCAAAGCTCAGTACATACTTTTATACAGCAACTCCTAATACACAGACTATCCCTTGGAACTATCCCACCCCTACATAAAGAACTTTCTCACACACGAACATTTGGAGGAAAAACAACTTTAGTTCATCAAGGTCATTTCCAGTTAGGATAATATATGTTTCAATGGCCCAATCAGAAGCCTCCTGTCTGCGGGTTACCTAAAATTTTGGAGAGGCTGATTTATACTCAGAAACCAGGTCATCTGTGTTGCATTGAACGCAGATATGCCCTGCCCCTCCCGCAGACACTCTGGTGCACCTCTCCAAAATTGTAGGTGACTGCAGACAGTGCCGCAGACAGGAGGCCTCTGATTGGTCAATTGTACATCCGCTCTACACTATGCGTATTTCCTGTTTGGTACCTTATCAGCTTTTGTTTGTATGACTGCCATTGTGGAAAACGACTCGTGAACATGGACCAGCTATGCGCAAGAAAACTGGGACACTTTTTCCACCTGGATCCCCGCTCTTTTTACCCCTCATATCCTTCCGTCGTCGCACAAACTGGCCCCACTTCCTCGGCGCCTCGGCCGTATCTTGACTCAGAGCTAGTTCCTGATTGTCCCTCTTGCGCTGAATAACATAGCGCAGACCACGCTTCAAAATTGGGCATAAATCAAAAATATCTGCGACAAGCTCACTGCAACACACTGCTGCGGAGGATAACCAGCCCTTTAAGGTGCATTAGAAGCCTCTGCAGACACTTTGCTTCATGTGAATCAAGGACCTCAAAAACACTCCCTTAATTATCTGACTTCAGTGAGTTGAAGCATCCTAGATGAGGTGTTGGATGTCTTTTTGATGCTCTAAACACGTTCGTTGTGAACGCAGCATGAGGTTGGTGGTTACGCCACGAGCAGAAGAACAGACTGCCACTGGGTTGGTGGCATGGAAAGTTTTTTAAGTGTGGTTCTCCAAGCAGAGCAGGTAGGGGCAGGTGATAAACCACTCAATTCATAAACACCTTTATTACAATCACAAAGACTTATAAGATGATATTTTACAGTAAAATGTTACTTAGTGCTGCTCTAAAGACGGTTGATTTGAACAAACTCATGAGCTGTCTGATCTTCCATGAGTTAAGTGACATCTACCAAACCCATTTGTGTCACGTTACCATGAAGAACCCTGGAAGGACTCGGAGTAGCTTACCGTCTTCCGTCTCATCGCTCCCAAAGTGTCTCCTGTAGCAGAGCATGATCTCCAGGTTGTAACACTTATACAGAGCCGTCAGGATACCCAACAACAGCAAGATGACCCCGAGGCCACCCGCCAGCTCCAGGCGATACATATCTGTCAGAGATGGAGCGGGAAGAGAATGCACAAAGGAGCTGATGAGATTCTTATCAGCTAACGGCTGAGCAATTCCAGCTGAAGGGGAGGTAAATACAAGTAGAGGCACTTTACTCTGGTGTTCTTTGACTTTAATTTTCTTGCATCCTTTTAAATAAACTACTTTGCTCAAACCTGAGGGTATCTACAGCAATCTGACATTGGGAAATAAAAAGCTCAATTCCCTTCTGAGTGGCCCATTTCCAAGCAGAAGTGAGCCTTTTTTTTTAAATCCCACAAACAAAAGCAGAACCTAATAATGATGGCTTTTTAGATAGGATTTTATTTTTTGATGATTCACAGCAGCTTTGAGATGCATCATTCTCAGAGTGCCAATCATTCCTATCAGTTTAGCACAGATAAAGGGAATGCGTGACTCAGAGAGAAAACCCTCAATACACAAACAAAATGAACCAGACAGGCTGTTAAAGCAACGGTCAAATCAGTGAGCGACTACTGTCTGGATATCTGTGTCTTTCATAAGAGTGATTCTGTTTGAACTTTAATGTCTGACTAGAAAGAGAAAATGATCAGCACACTTAACAGTTTAAATGGAGTTCAGAGGGACAGTTCTTGGTGGTTGCATGGAAAGGAAATTAATCTAAATGAGGAAAGACATCTGAACAAGGTAGATGAAGAGAGGTTTAAAATGGTGATGTAAAGACTTTATGCACTGTCACTGCTCCAACAATCACATTTCAAAATGTATCTTTCTAAGGACTTGCTTTATCAGATCTCTGTTTTTTTTCTTCTCCAAATTATATCTTGTTTAAAGAAAAGGTAAAAAAAAAAAAAAAAGATCATTCCTTTATAGGTGACTCAGTAAAATATTTTGAAAATCTAATTTTCAATCCAATAGTGTTATTGGAATCCAGGACAAGACCTTATTACCTTTGAAACACTCAAAAAATATGAATATTTTGATGGTAAAAATTAAAGTCAATGTAATAAGGGACGCCAACTCGCCCGAATATATTGAGAACAATAACTAAAGTGCTTCTGAGGAGAGCCCAGAAATTCATGAAAAACACTCTGAGAGGGAAAGAAACACATTTTCTTTGGTACAACATAACCTTAGAGGCAATAATGCTGATACTGGCACTTCTATTTTTTTAAGTTTATGAACCTAAATATAATTGTTAACTAGACTTCTTAACTTTCAATTAGCTTTTTACCTTTTTTTTCTTGACTTGTTTTTTTTTGTAACTTAATTTACAGTAGGTAATATATCCTTCAAGGGCTCATCTAATTGGTCAAATGCCAAAATGAGATGTACAGCCATGTAGCAGCATTTTAGTTGAATGGCTGGATATAGATCTTGTGCTTCTAGACTTCACTGGGGGGGGGGGGTTTCCATTTGTAAGGGGTATGCAATTAATCAAAAACGCTAACTTGCCCTATAAAGGGTTAAATTCTACATCAGAGAACCAAATGTATGACTGATCAAGTCAGGTTCATCACTCATTGATCTGAAAATCCTTTAATACATTCCAATTTAAGCTAATACTTTGGTCCAAACCTACACAGTGTTGCTTTAATATGTTATACAATCTAACTTCACTAAACAATAGCAAACTTAATTAAAGGACTGAGATTTAAACCATGGTTGTTTGAATTCATGGGCTGCATCCTCCGAAGGCCTAGCCTGGGTGCCAGTCCGAACTTAGTCCCGCCCACAAGGTTTGAGTTCGGGGAAGTTCGGTCTGGCTCTGCTCCATAGTAGCACGAGTATTAAAGCCCACTGTCAGGCGATCCAATCAAATTGTCAGGGCGGGCTTTATACGATGATGGACAGATGATCAAGAGTAACGTAATCAACCACGTGACCAAAGCGCGCTTGGGTGACAACAATAATGGCTGCCGCTGGAGAGTTTGGGTGAGTAGATTCTGCTATTAGGTCTGTTCTAGAAGATATCGACAGCAAATTAATTTTAAAAGAGGAACAGAGAAACGCAATCAAGGCTCATCTTCTTATTCTAGGCGTGAAACTGCACACTTTGATTTTTGTGGACAACAACTATGCCTCGCTTAAGATACGTCACGCACTCCGTTGCTCTTATTGGTTATAGGTCTATCCAATTGAGTAAAGAGGCATTTTTTTTCCTGGTTCGTTCAAAACACGCCCCATAATCACAGCTCTATGGAGCAGTGTCAGACTCATATTCTGACTAGAATTGAGTCGGACTACGTCAGGCTACCGAAGGCCAGATTAGAAGGTTCATTCGAACCTTCACTGGTTCGGCTTCGGCCTACAAATGCCTTCTTTCTTTTTGCCCGAGTTGAAGGACGGATCAGATGTATCCTCGCTATCCTTGGATATCCTAGGATTCATTGCGAGACCAAGCAAGCCAGCTGCTCTGTGATCAGAGGAAGTGGTACTTGGTATGTATGAGTATGTGAATAGTGTCGTCTGAATTGTATGAAAATAGTTGTTTTAATGCTTATTGAGTCAGATATGTGGCGGTAATGTTTGATTGATTTTTTCTTGAATAACTATGACCTGGATGACTGAGACCTAGATGACTTAGACTATGACCTGGATGAC